CGTTCTCGAGTATCACCTGCGGGCTAGTGAAAGTTTTTACGGATAAATTATTATCCCGGGAACCACGGGGTCTAGGAAGCTGAAATTTTACGGTAATAACCCCTGCCCACGCTCAACCTTGCCTATTCAAATTCAGCATTCCCTCGCTCTTGAGTATCATCTACAGCCTTGTGAGAATTTTGGCGGGTAAACTATTAACTCGGGAATCACGGAAAGATATTCACCCTTCAAAGTTTCGTGATATTCACCCTTCAGCTTTCACTCGCTGATGCGTAAACTTCCAGCTATTTTCCAATGTTTGAACTATTTTTGCATAGACTAAAGTACAAGGAAGTGAAAATCATTAATAGGCAATCATGATGGGCTGAATTGCACAAAACGCATGATCACACCGGCTGGTCTGGTGCGCGTTGCTATTTATTGCTTTTAGTTGAACAGCAACTGAATGTGGGTCAGTCGATCCTAAGGTGCCGGATAATGGTATTACGAATGACTGCGATGAAAAGTTCGGCTCCAGCATGGCAATCGAAAGGAAAACGGGTTAATACCCCTTGCATCTGGATACGAAGATAACTGCTCATTATGGGTGTTCAGGCATGTGTGGTTCTCACGCATGGCTCCGTGAAAGTTGCTGACTCGGGATCGAGGTATGCTGGGAGGCTGAAATTTTCAGGGGATGTTCCTAGCCAGAGATGCAGAGCAAAATCCCATAAAACTTGACGCGATTCTTCGCAAATGAGATTAGCCCTGCACGAAAAAAAAGAACGCATGAACTAAAAGTGAAAGAGTAGCTCCGCAAAAAAAAACTGTCGGTAGGAGGAAGTGCCGCATTTAACGTGATTTTCCCGCAAAAGCCCAGAACAGCAGTAAGCAAACTGAAGACTTCATCCACATTCCTGAGCCCGCTTGACTCAATTTCGGCCAAATGAACCGAGAGAGCTGAACCTGGTCCCAGACCCCGTCACCTACCACCTTCCTCCCCCAAACAACACCCTCCCCCCTCCCCATCTCCCTCGAATTACACTCAGATCGCTACATAAAAACGCGACAAATACAGTAACTCTCGGCTCGG